TACCAAAAGCATTTGAAAAAATTCCAATAGTCAACAAAAGAAACATATAAAATTAAAAAAAAAAAATAAGATATGCTGGAATGATTGATATTTTTAGAATTCTCAACATCTGAACCGCTTTCATCGAGGCCTAAATTAACAAGTCGGATAGTTCCATAAGACGTAGCTGTATTTAGAAAACTAACTAAACATTTCCTATGTAATCACAAGTAATTATAAACATAATACGTATAGTTTCATTGTGTGAGAGCATCCCAGTAACGTCACTAACAAAGAATACCTACGCTGATTTGAGGAAGTTTTTTGCTAAATAGTAAATGTCATTAAATGCACATATATTCCTATAAGATTCCTATATAATTAAATAAACAAACATACGAAAAAATTGATACCCACTAAAGCTGACCATCTAATTAAAAAGCAAATGAATGATGTTCTTTTTTTTCTTTTTTTTTTTTTTTCAGGCGGTAACTGCACTGAGTTCATCATGAATAGCGCTTAGAAACTCGCCATATGCACGCTCCAGGTCATCGTTCACTATCATAAAATCGAATAAACTTGGTTCAGCATCCGCTGAAAAATCGCAACAAAAAATTCAGCATTTCGCAAAAAACATCAAAAAATGCAAACATCACAAAAAACAATTCAAAAAATTCTGAAGCATCACAAAATTCAAAAAATTCAACAAAAATTCAAAAATTCAACAATCTATATTTTAAGCTAGAAATCCCCCTGACAGTAATATACCTGCCTTAGGAGTGGTAACGATTGATACGAGATAGTGATGCTCAACATACACTAAAGACACTTTGAAATGGTTAAAACCCGGTCAACCTGGTTACTACAACCTGTCTGCTAAGTGCTTCTGTCTGGAGAGACGATGAGCTGATAATCTTTTCAGTCTTCTCGAGAGACGAAAATCAACTGGTGGCTAGGACGTTTATAACAATGTAGCATTGGTTAAAGCAATCAAAAAAATTTTCAGCCAAATAGGTGAAGAACCATATTATAAAACCAGGGATACTCTAAATATTCCAAGGGTTTACTTAGATACGGAATTTTTCAAGTTTTTAACCTGACTTTAGCGTTTCTTCATCTAAGGAATTTTGAGTCTTGTTACTCAATTTGCCTCATTCCTCTTCCATCACAAAAGATTTTTACACTGCCCATCAGATCAAAAAAACGCCTTTTATTCCTACTTTTTACATATTCCACTGCTAAAATCATTAACTTACCAGCATCTAAATCTTCCTTAGCGTGCTTTAGTCGTTTCTTGAGCGAATCTTCACTCTCGGTATTACGGGAACGTAAGCGTTGCTCCTAGAATATCAAACAAAGAATTAACTTTTTAAGAGCAATAAAATCACAAGTTTCGCAGCTAACTATCAAACAATTCAATAGGTCTCTACAAAATTCGGAATTTTAAGATAAAATACTAACCAGGACATCCAAACTGGGTGCTCTTACGAGAATGTATTTTGCATCCAATCCACATTTGTGTATGCTGCGTACTCCTTGCAACTCCACATCCAGGATACATATACGTCCAGTTGTCAGTACATCTTCGACTGCCTTTTTACTAAAATTTTTACACAATTATTACTTCTACGCTGAAGTGACTATATATATCTGAACTTGTGGGATGCATAGATCGAGAACCAGAATATGAATTAACAGTTATTCCAATACGCGTTTTGAGCAGCTGTTGCAACTATGCTATCGCCCTAAACCAGTCTTGCTCTGCCCAGTCCCCTGCCTCCTCGATTCTCAGGAATTTGGCACGAAAACTTACGATGTGCCATACATATTGCCACCGAAAGTTGCGTACTCCAAGAATTCGCCATTTTTAATCATTTCTTCAAATTTTTCTTTGGATACAAACCAGTAATGTGTCCCATTCACCTCTCCTGGACGCGGTGATCGAGTTGTATCTATAACAGTTCACATCAATATCAGAAAGATTAGCAAAACCCCTTGGGGAACTTTTTAGAAATCTAAGGAAAGAAGCGGAAGTTTGTGATAAAATGCAAAAAATCCAGGATTTACATACGTGAAACGCTGAAGGCAAATGCATTTGGAAAAGCTTCCATAGCTTTTGTGATAACAGTACTCTTCCCTCCTCCGGACGGACCCGACATCACAATTGGTCTCATCCTACTGAAATATAATAACGGTGAATTAGTAAGAAAAATATGTGGAAAAGGACTTCTACAATGATTTTAAAAAAAAACAACAAAACTGAAAAATAAAGTTTATGTTTTTGAAATTTTTTATGAACTAATTAAACAAAAAAGGGGGAAAAACTGCAACAAAAACTGACACTTAAATGATTGCCATTAGGATGCTTTTAATTAACCCTAAAAGAGGGGATCATCGACGATTTTGCCAGCGGTTGGTTGCTATGGAAATTTGCCGCTTTTTGATTAACTTTCTATTTTCTTCTTTTTTTACATTGAGTAAGCAGCGAAAGAAATTTAGGCTTTTGACTTTGATTTAAACGAAAAGACAGAATTTTCGGGGCTGTAATATATTTATGCCTATGAAAGGCTGCTTTCAACAGAAAAAGAAATTTTGCAAAAATTAACCCAAATTTGTGCATTTTACGAGCTTAATTGTTTCATGAATTTTTATTCTCATTTACAGCAATGCACGAAGGCATGTAATCGCATTCTTCTATGTCTTTCAGTAACAAATTTTTGAAAATCTATTTGAATGCACTTTGGAAAAGCCAAAAAAAGCGAAGATCTGGAAAATCTCTGCTCAACGGAAACCAAGACAGTAGGATTCGAAGATTCAAGATCCAACAACACCAGTGTCAGTGTGAGGATCATCAAATATGTGCTGTATTGTTCCGCCTTTGAGGTACCACGGATTTTCTTCATTCTTCCTTATTTCCACTGTTTTATTCCTTTGTTTCTGACTTGTGGATGAGGGTTTTTTGAAAACTGTCGCGAGAAAACGACAATAAATCAAGTCATCCCTTTCATCCGGTGCTCGATGACCTTGTGAACTTTTATGAGACTGGCTCATAATGTATCACTTTCTGCCGCTGATGACCGCTATAGGAAGATGTGATAAGAATCGTTGGTTAACGGTTGTTAAACAAGCGATAGAAGCAGTGTAACACATCTATCAATTCTTTGTTAAAGGAAAAGATGAAAACTGCATGGTCATTAGCAAGCTGACTTTCAAGGTCACAGCGTCTGTGGAAAAATGGTCAGCAGGATCGACGGCGTCAAACTGCGCTATGCATGGGCGAATCCAGGGGGAAAGGTCTTTCATCCACCCCCCCACCCTCCTCAACCTCACCCTAGCGGTACAGGCACCAGTGCTGCAAAAGCCCGGATCTGTT